CACGTGGCCTCTTTCAGGTATTGGCCTCAACAGTCTAATTCGTAACCACTGAACCACAAGCCCAGGAGCACATCCTGTAGATGTTTGTTTATTCTGTTACCATGCTTCCTTGCACATTGTACAGCCTTTGTTTCACCCACAGTACCTGTATATCTGTTACATTTTTGTTGCTCCATCTAGTCGTAGGCATTGAGGCCATCTTGTCTGACGAATTGCATGTCACAGACCATAAAATTACATACAGGCACACAGTATTTCTTTCAAGAAACCCACAATTTTTTCTCTGAATAAGAACAGATCTTTTTGACAGATAATCTTTCAGCTTCCTGATGTGCAATTTTCAGCTGCTTCTGGACATCTCCTACTACACGTTTGACTTTTTTTTTACACTGCTGCATTGCAAAATCCCAGTTAATTTATCTCCCCGTCCAGCTGGCACCTTTCAGGGCCTCAACAGTAGTACCCAAGCTGCTGTGACAGGAAGGGCAGCGTTCCCACCCGCTGCGGGGCCCGTGCGGAGGCCAGCCCAACCTCTCGCGTTTCTGCTCTCCAGCTGCGCCAACCAACAATATGTAGGTTTCCTTGTCATCCCTAAGAATGGACAAGACTTTACAGCTAGCATAGTGGGCCATTATAGAAAACCCGTCAGATATATGCAGGGCAGAAATGAAATATAAGTGGTCATTCCAGGATATATCTTGTTTGAGTATTTCTGATTTTTCAAGACCTCATATTGGTTACAACTATTGACTGTTTGCTTGATTATGTTGTTTCTGGTTTATCTCTCTGGAAGCAAATACTTTTTTTTTTTTTAATGAAACATAGCATTTGTACAAAAAGTGTCTGCTTTCCATGAAAAATTTCAAGGTACCAATACTAAGTAATCTTCAAATTTAGAACCAAGCTATCTAATGTAAATGCTTCCATGTCACAGGGTATGCTGGAGTTCAGACATTGGGAACACGTTATTTTCTGTGGGCCATGTTTCCCAGACGGAGTCAATCTGCTAGGATATGCTGTGGCTTTCAGATTCCCTGTGGTATCATGTAGTATCAAGTGATCATGATGCATGGTAGGAGATATAGCCCTAATATAATAACCCAGTATATAGACAAAAGGGGAGGAGTAAAGCACCTAGTCTATGTTTGTGTTTACATACTATGGCAGATAAGCTTTACAAAGCCTGCAGTTTACAGCTGTAGTTGTTACTATAATGCTGGTGGTGTACTATCATGCAGGCTCAGTAATTCTTTCGGTTGGTATTATTAATTTTCTCTCAACAATTGCAGCTGTTGGTGCTTGTAAAATAAAATGTTGCAGACTTTGATTCTCACACCTGAGTGGCCAGCATCATCTCTTTTGTTTTTCTTTTCATAAAAAGAACCTCACAAACCTGCTGTAACTTATGTAAAATGGAGGCTGATAACATTTCAAGCAGAAATGCAGTTCACACTGAGGTCACAAAAATGGAGTTGTCTTTCATAGTCCTTGCAGCCCATCCAAACAGGATTCCTAGTTGTGTCCGTGCGGCTTCCCAGTATACAGGAACCATTGAAATCTCTGGCTCAAGATTTTTGAAAACAAAATGAACAAAAGTCAAGACTCGATGCGTACTGTAACTGTCATGGACTCTTCTAGCCTGGAGAACAGGAGAGACATGGCTGTTGAGCATCACCTCAGCAGGGTACCTCCATAGGGTTGAGGCCACAGCCTCTGCATTAAGGCAATAGCTCTCTTCCCACTGTATGAAGCTATTTGCTTTCTTTCCTCATTGTCCCTTTCTTTCTAGTTCTACTAAAAGAATTAATCTGTTTAACTCAGTCACCAGCAGTGATTCAGAGCTGCCAGGTCTCACAGAAAGGTATCATATTTTGGGTACAGCACAGTACCTGTGCCATGTGACAGGTCAGGTTTACATTAGATGTTAGTACATTATTCCCAGCAGTTTAGGAACTTCTTTCTGCATGGGATTTGCCAAGATGTGTACCGACTCCAACTTCATTAGTGAAAAGAAGCTAAAATCTGAAAATGTCAGAAAAAAAAGACTATGGTCTTTGAAACCCTTTGAGAGTGATATTCTTTGCTCTACCTGCATTGGGTCTTCTGTTGCTGGACCATCTGAGAAGCCGAGACAAGCTTATACTTCCTTTACTTTTTGCATCATGTCAGCTCTGCACACACAGTGTATGCTATATTTGCATAAAGCTCCTTCCAGGGACTCCAGCACTGAGTGTTAGCAAGCAGTCTCCTCTGCTGCTTATGCTGAATGAGCAGTCCCCTTCTCCCCTGAGACTCAGTGTACCCTTTCCATCACACACTGCCCTCCTCCCCTGAGACTCAGTGTACCCTTTCCATCACACACTCAGCCATCCCTAGCCTGCAGCGAAAGAGTTTTGAGTCTGTCTTGCACCTGATTCCTCTTTGGATGTCAGCATTCGGAGCTGCTGCTTACTGCAATTGCCCTAGGCCTTTGCACATCTAAATGGATTTTAATGTCAGCTCAACATCAGCACAACTACATAAGGAAAAGATGTATGGGGGTAAAAGACAGGATGCCATCCCTACAAAACCCTGAAGAGTTTGTCAGGTCTTTGGTCCTAAGGTAAATACATAAATGGTAGGAAAAGGAGAGGGGCTGAGGATCTTTACACTAATGTAGAACTGCTAACCAAGCATATTTTGAGGTCAGAGAAATGAAAAGGTCTTCTTTTCAGATTGTTGGCATCAGATCACCTTACCTGATTCAAAATCTGTCTATGCAGTAATATTAAAGTATTTGAGGTATTTATTGTAAGCATTTTCTTTATGTCAAGAATGTGACTAGTTCCAGCTTTTGTAACAAATGGTGAGGCTAGGAGAGCTGGGCTAGGAAGCGCAAGAGAGAAAAGACCAGCCAATGGGTGCAGAAAGAAAAATCCTTCACCATTCAGGCTGCAGAAGTGTAATACAAGTTGAAATCATGTTTCTTTCACTGGTGTTTTAGATACAAGGCCTAAATGTTCTTCTGACCATACCTCAGTTCTGTCTGGTTAAATCCTTCCAGGAACATAAGTGACAAAACCTATAGCTTGAGCTTAACTTCTGCAGTCAGGTTTACTGTGGCTAAGGATGTTTCCAGAAAGATGATGCTGTTAAAACTGTACTTTAAATAGAACAATATGGGGTAAACATCTGAAATTTGATCTTTCTAAAAAAGGTGGGGTTTACTTGCTTTTCTTGGTTAAAGAAATGCAAATAAACCTTTGTTGGGCCTTTAAAATTTGATCTTCTAAAAAAGGTGGGGTTTACTTGCTTTTCTTGGTTAAAGAAATGCAAATAAACCTTTGTTGGGCCTTTAAAAAAAATCTGTTTAAATTCATCATCCCTTTATTCCAACATGGCCATTTATCTGTAAGGTTTTTACTATAAAATGCAACAGCTTACCATCATGGGTTAAGGCTTGCATCCAACCTTCCATAAAAGAATGATGGATAGATCCCTGTACTCACTAATATATACTTTTAGTTATCTTTATGCCTGAGTCAATTCTTCCATCAGGAAACTTAAAGATAGTGTTGACCTTTAAAGGAATACTTGTAAAGATTGAATTGAGCAGGTTTTATTGTTCCTACAAAAACCTGGAACTCTTTCGTGTTTTCTTCAGCACCTTTCCACTGAGTCTCAGCTTATTAGCTGTTGACAATAGTGCAGGCATCTCTCCTTTAAATAACACCTCTATAGCAGCGATTGCAGGGAGCATATACATGTTTACATTCATTTTTAAGCTTTCCTTCTTGCTACTGTTTTTAAATTCAGTCAACATTTGGCCAAAGAAACAGTGTTATTTTGGGACTCCAAGCACCAGATCCACCCACTGTAGGCAAACTGTTGAGGATGTGAATGAATAAACGATGACATTCCTAGTTCTTTCTACTTCCCATGCTCAGGTTTGGCTAATGCATTGTCAATGTCCTTTCTTTTCTGACAAACATGTTCTCTGCGAAATGCCCGTTCTGCCACAAGGGCTTCAGTTCAGTTCTGTGACTTCGACTTTGTTCCATTGTTTAAAAGGCATTCAGCTTAATCAATGTCTTCAGGCTGAAGCACTAAGCTTCATTAGACTTACAGGTCTCAAAGCTGCAAAATAAGAAATCACCACATTTCTGTAGCATGTTTTATCAAGACATTTCAACTTCCAGTGTTAATGAATTCATGTTGGAAGTTTTTGTGAAAATCTTTTTAATCTACTCGAGTGGCTTAAAGGGCAAAGATCTACTTTAAAATACTTCCTTGAGAAGTTTACTCTTGGTTTCAGTGGGATCTCAGACCGGAATTGAATGTTTCCCTTTCCCCTTGCATCCTGCATTCCATGTTATGCAGTAGTTTCTAAGGCTGCAATTTCAGAATAACTTAATCCTGTATGTGAGACCTATTCCCCCGATGTCTCCTTCTAAAAGCCAGGATACTAGTTCTAGCTTTCACCTCCTGCTAACACCAGTCTCCATGTTTGTGTTCATTGACCTCAATCAGAAATTGATCCAGCTGAAAACTAACTTGCGAAAAAAGAGGAGACCTGTTTCCTGTTTCTCTGATATGAGTCACCCTAAGGTAATGCAAATGCCCATGTCAGGATTGAGCAGCCAGAGCTAGGCAGCTGCACGGGCTTGGGGCAGACAGAAGTCATCAAGTAACCAGGGTTTCCAAATGACATTTATTTAAACACAGGGGAAAAAAAAATTTACTTCCAGAATGAAAGAATCTGAATAGTTTCACAAGATTCAATGTTATTTTCATGTGCAGATCCACTATTTATCAAGCATCCTTTGGCTGTGGGTTGAATACTGAAACATTTTATAACAGTCATCTTCAGAAATAAAATAATGAGAAAGGTAGCATTGGAAAGAAAAGATTTTTTTTTTTAAATCTGCATTTTCCAACAACTTTAATGTTTTCAACATTTTGCTATTGCAAACCACTGTTCACTGTTTCATGCAAGCTATTTTTTATTCTCCTCTTCGCAGATCGAATTGCACAGAATATCATTAAATCTCATTTGGAGACATGTCAATATACGATGGAGGAACTACACCAGCTAGCGTGGCAGACTCACACATATGAAGAAATTAAGGTTTATCAGAGCAAGGTACAATCCTGTAATATGTTGCTTCTTCTGCTCCCTATGGTTTGAAATTGTTAACAGTGTAATGTATTTGGCAAGGATATGCTGATGAGTTTCATATAGGTCAAAATAGTTTTTTTAATATCTTTGAGGAGCTGGTTACTGAAAGCAAAGGAGTGACACTTCATAAAAAGAAGCAGCAGCTTTCCAGCATATTGGGATGTTTGCTAATGTCAAAGCTCAGGCATGGTTATGGAATCCAGTATTCCATGCTTTGCTTGGAATCACAGGTCTAAACTTCATGCAGAAATTCAGTTGACTTTAATGTGGTCAGGATTGGATCCTCTGCTGTAAGGATTTTAAGAAAATAAGACAACCTAACTTTGTTTCCTTACCATTTTGAAAACACATCACCTTTTTATGTGAGTAACAAATATCTGTCACTTATAGAAACCAGATAATGACAAACTGGAAGTACTCCTTAAATTGAAGTTGTTCAAAACTGGGTGGAAAAATGATCTCATTACACTACATTTTTGTTCTACCTCTGACATTCTCAGGTCAAGTTCAGACTATTTCCCACTGGCACCTCTTCAAATGTAGTCCAGTCAACAGAAATCTTTGTGCCTCTTGTGCCAACATCACTAGCAATGATTCTTGAATCAGATTTCAGCTGGCACATTAGCTGATCACGCAAGAGATGGAAGAGAGTCCAGCTTGTTCTTTGAAAGCTGAGGGGCTATGCAGTATTAGCAAAAATAAAAATAGGCCACAGCTTGCAGAGCTGTGGCATGCAAACCAAGAGCATCAGTTTACATTTGCACACTTGTGTGTGCAAGGAAAATTATTATCAAGGAAACAAAATTTTGACACAATCAGTGTTCAGATTGCAACGATACTTTAATTATACATTATTTTAACTTTCAAACTAGCAAAAATATTCTGTTGGATAACTTAATAGCACTGGGCCACTTCTTCCCTGAGAGTACTCTGGGATGTTTACATTGTTTGTGCCACTGTTTGTCTATCTTGCACAAAAGCCAACATTAGAATCACATTTTAACATTGGACAATGCATTCTCCCCCTTTGAAGAGGCAATGCCAGAGTTCAGATCACTGGGGCAATTGGCTTGTGAAAACAGCCTTCTAATGAAAAGTGTCAGGTACCTTGAGAAGCAGAGATGCTGCTAGCTCTGCCTGGGGACTGGGGGGTAGTCTGAGGAATGCGCCTTTCTGCAAGGCCACCTGAAGAACTTAATGCACTGATGAACCCGCTTGCTCACTGCTTTGCATTTCCATGTTTTCCCGGAAGACCAGAGAAGCTCTGTGGCAGCAGTGTGCCATTCAGATCACCCACGCTATCCAGTATGTGGTGGAGTTTGCAAAGCGCATAACAGGCTTCATGGAGCTCTGCCAGAATGACCAAATTCTCCTTCTTAAGTCAGGTGGGTAAACACCAGAGGCTCGAGACTGGTTTAGCACCCAGCACATTAGAAATGTGCTCTGCTGTCTTGTTCTACAAATCATTTTAATTTTGAAGGAGCCCTAATTTCAGTCTGTTTCATTAGCTACACTAACCCTTCCATATTTTTCCACATTAATCATGTTACTGCCTTCTGATCCCCTTCCCTCTACTGTCAGTTGTAGTTGTTAAGTACACGTTCACACACAATCGTTGCAGAAACTGCAGTCTCCAACCTGACACGTGGTGGAAGGACCCTGCAAACTGAGCTGGTCAAATCAGTCATCTGCCACCCTGTAAAATCCCCACTTGTCATTAGTGAAACGAATGCAGGCTCACCGGGGCCTGCCTCTGTGGTCATCTCTAATCTTTTTAATGAGACTACAGAAATACCCTCCAGCCAGTGCACAGGAGGGAAAATCCCTGCTGGCTCCAGTTGGTTTCAGAATAAATGAGAGCGGATTACGGTGGTGTGCTCTGGCCTTGCTCTCTGCACGTGCCTGGGTGTGCACGTGTGTGCATAAGGGCAAGGGAAAAGGGTTTCCTTCCCTGTCATGGGACTTGGTAATTTCTGTCCTCCGGAAGAATCATGACAGGATTTACCATGACTATGTAGTAACACCACCAAACTCAGGAGGACAAAATGTTATGACCAAGTGAACCGCTACTGGTAATTAACTGCATTTACCCTGTCATAGCAGTTTCTTGCTCCCTCCATGTGTAAAAGGCAGGATGCTGTGTGAGGCAGCTCATTAAAGCATAAGAAGTACTTCCTATTTCAAGATAGACCTCTTCATTAAGGCTGAAAGCCAGTGTGATTCAGCACTCTGTACACAGAGAACTGTGGCTCATTGTGGGGCTGGACAGAGACGGTGGGCACAGGCGCAAAGGGAAGGGATACAGAGGCCCTGGGAACACACAGGCAACTGCCTGGAAAAACGGAGTCATAGCATGAGAACTGTTTTTTTAAAGCTCGTACTAATTTCAAAAATTCTGCAGATGTCAGTGCACCCCAAGTAACTTTCTTCATTTGGCTGGCAAAGCTAACAACACAACTGCACCTTCAGCAAAAGATATAGTTATATTTGACCTTACTCTCAGACAACTCTGTTTAGCTTCAGCATGTATAAATATGTCAGGTTTTATTTTCTGTTTTGCTGTTAATGCTGAGCAGGAGCTAGAAAATCAGGACGTTTCACTCAAAAGCATGTCTGCAAAAGAATTCTCAGATTCAGAGTTGTTCTTACAGGAGATTTGGATTTAGTTAAGGGATGCTTAAAATGTTTCCCTTCATTTTCCCAAACTGTGTATTTTTGCAGTTAGGAAATAATAGGGAAAGATAAGGAGAAAAGAAGAAGGGTTCCTTTGGCTATTCCCAAACCTGAAAGAAAAACAAGGGAAACAGAAGTAAAACCCAATTTAGGGGTGTTTTTGACAGTACTTTAACTTTTATTTTCTCTCTAAAACACTTTGCGATGTTCTCCCACTCCAGGCAAATGAAGCTGGGATTTATATACATGTTGAATGAAGCTGGGTTTTTTTTATAAAAAAGGTTTAATTATTAAAAAGGAGTTTCAATAAATGCCTAATTTTCAGGATAAAATATTTCAAATTGAAAATATTTGCCCAGGTCTAAAGTCAGATTAAGTCCATGCTGCCAATTTGCTGCAATGGGGGAAAAATCAGCCTAAAGAAAAGGTGGTTAGGCTGGAGAAATTACCCCTTTCTATACTCAAAGCAGACAGAAATATTTTTTTCTCTCATTCAGAGACATATCATCTAGATGCCTCCAAAGAGTGTCTATCCCTGCTGATGTTTCTAATGACTGATGTCTTCCTAAATATTTTCTTAAAATTTCCTATATTCTGATATTTTACAGTAATGTATCATACTTTTGCTCTTTTTCATGTCTGATAGGCTGCTTGGAAGTGGTTTTGGTGAGAATGTGCCGTGCCTTCAACCCACTCAACAATACTGTTCTGTTTGAAGGAAAGTATGGAGGGATGCAAATGTTTAAAGCCTTGGGTATGTTGGTCATCTTCTTTTCAACCAATTACATTGAGCTACAGAGTGACAGATTTGTCTTTCTGAAAATAGTGACCCACAATGAAAATATCCAGTAAATATTGAATCCCCAAACCTCCTAATCTCTAGGCTGGAACTGAAAAAGAAAAAAGGTTACTCCACGAGCTGCTAGCAGTGATAGGTGTTTTTTTGTAATAAAGAAGAGCAGCATGAGGGTTTTGCAGATAGATTTCTTACTCTGCCATTTGAAGTTTTGGTAAAACTTGAGTTTACGGTAGGAGCCAAGCAGTTTATCTTCACAGTTCAGTTTGATACATCAAATCACTCCCACTAATTGTGTCCTGCAGAAGGCAATTTTAGCCCCAGCAATGAGGGGACTAAAATGATGAACTACAACAAAATATATAGAAAAGGACTTGCCTAAAATGCTGTTTTGCCTGAAACTTTTAAGCTCATTTAGATTCACGTATTGAAACAATTGCTTCATTTCTCAACATGATATTGAGTGCTACCTGAAATGTTAATAGCTAAATGGATGTCTTTTGCCCATCCATGAAACTGATACATTATCAGAAATTTATTCAGGGCCAAACTCGAAGAGAGCTATTTGCTTCAAATACATACATTTATCATATAGGTATATATTTTTCTTATTTGCATATGGATAAACATAACATTACTTTACAAGTTTAAGCATTTATAAATGTGCATTAGTTAATTCATTTTGGTCTTTATGATGTTTTCACAAATTTTCATAAATATTTGTACTGTTAATTAATAAAATTATATATGTGAAAGTTATTTAGGACTGGTCATTCATAGCTCTTAGATTTAATATCTGTTTAGAACTAGCATTTATTTTCACATTGGGCAAAGAAAACCCTCTTCTAAGATCTCTGTGCAATTTTTATACAGGTCGTGCCCCTAATTCTGGATAATTTTTGTGCTTCAATGGGTGTTTTAGTGATACCTTTTTGGGGTAGGTGGAATTTTAATAGCTGATGAAAGGCACTTGTTTTAGAAGTACAGACGCTCACTCAGAACTTTTTTTGACACCAAAACAGTCCACTTTTCATGGCAGGTTGAAGGGCTGATAAATTTCTAGCACTGATTTTGTCCTCTGTGGTCTGCAGGTTCTGATGATCTGGTGAATGAAGCATTTGACTTTGCAAAGAATTTATGTTCCTTACAGCTGACTGAGGAGGAGATTGCCTTGTTTTCATCTGCTGTTCTGATATCACCAGGTAATTATTCATTCCAAACACCACAATGATTTTTTCTTTCCATCCTTGTCCACCTCTATTTCTACCTATTTAAACAGCTGTTTAAACTTGTCGTGGTTTAATCTCAGTCGGCAGGTTTAATCTCAACTAAGCACCACGCAGCTGCTCGCTCACTCCCCCCCACCCCCCACCCCGATCCCCAGCCAGTCCCCGAGCAGCGGCTCCCCCGGCCAGCTTTCCCCAGTTTATGTATA